TATTTTTGTATAGGCCTTATTTTTTCTTTAATACATTTTAAATATGTGACAAAGAGTTAAAATGAGTTTATATTGGTCTTTTTCTCTGCTCATTTATTTGTGTTCTTACTTGCTCTGCTATATGTTCTGATGTTACATCTACCTGCGATATCCGTTTCTATACCAAAACAATGTTGATTAATTTATTTGTATTGTATATACATTTTATGTATTTTTCTTTTCATATCATTCTTTTCCACTTAATTCAAGTAGATAACAGTATAATGAAGATACAGGATGCTACATATTTTTAATTAACAAAAATTTATCAAATCATTTAGAGTTGTTATTCATTGCTACATAAGCACAATACCTTCACTTTTTAAAGTTGAATCTTTATTATGCCTTCAGACATTGAACCAAGATAAGTCTCATTTCTGGGGTACACCAGAGCAGTGCCTGACTGCCCAAACAGAGCCCTAGGAATTGAAAAACCCCAAAACCCAATCACCACCATGATCAAGGCAAATCTCCACAGGCTCGGGATGAGTCTCATGTAAGAGTGAATCTGTTGTTTCGGTTTTGTGACCAAAATCTCCAGGGTCTCATGGAGTCAGAGATGGGTGATCTCCCCATATCTTTGTGTTCTTCTCGGATCTGGAAGAGCTGCCTCTGGTGCCATAGAAGTTTATTAACCAGCCATGATTCAGAGGCTTGCACATGAATCTTAGAAGACATCAACAAGCTGCAGAGATGCCTCCTGACCCCATAGTCACCATCCAGTTAAAAATTTAACTTCAAGTCTATCACCCTATTGAAAACTTTAGAATTCCTGGAGCATGAGGCCTCATTTGTGACTGTGTGATAGCCCATCTAGTTACAGGGTGAGATACAACAATCTTCACACATCTTCTTCTAAGGAAACGTTTTAAAATCATCTTTAGCAAATTATTCATAACAAGCAATACAAAATAAAATATTTAGGGTCTGCTATTGGGACAGACTTGGGTGATTTTCTAGAAAATTTAAAATAATGGTGGTAGAAAGGGGTAATAGTGGTGAAGTTGGTGTTGGAATATTGAGTGTAATAAACTATTGTGAACAAGTTTATAAAAATAAATCAAATTTTAAAAGAAAAAAGATTAAAGTTTAATCTTTTAATAGTTATTACAATTTTAATGACTAGAATTTCAGCAGATTTTTCACAAAAAATAAATTGTGAATGAAACTATCTTCTCAGTTGCATTAAAATGATTTATGAGTTTAAAATAGGTTTATTTGATTCCAAATTTTTTTTTCTGAACACTTATTAATGTTGTCTCACCTCCTCTATTGGCAAGTTTTGGGTCATACTTTTGTCAGTTGTAGGAAGCTGTCAGTTTTTCACCTCTGTATTTGACTCTGGCCATTAATTTCATAAGAAGAGAATAAAATTTAAAAAATCTTACTCTCTTAAAAAATTCTTCAATAATTTATCTTAATCGTGCTTACTTTTTCCTCCCTTCTTTTTCCCCAAAGTTCAAAAAAAAATTTAAAAATGTTTAAACAAATCAGTGTTACTAATAACTTTAGGAAATGCCTCCATAAAGTGTCCCAAACTGTTCTAATAAATACATACTAGGGCTGGAGCGATAGCACAGCGGGTAGGGCGTTCGCCTTACAAGCGGCCAACATGGCCGACCCGAGTTCGATTCCTCCGCCCCTCTTGGAGAGCCCGGCAAGCTACCAAGAGTATTCGATATGCCAGACACAGTAACAATAAAGTCTCCAATGGAGACGTTACTGGGCCCGCTCGAGCAAATCGACGATCAACGGGAGGGCCTTTACCTTTTTACCTTACCTAATATAGATTAATATATCTAACATATTGGGCTGGAGCCATAGTACAGCGGGTAGGGCGTTTGCCTTGCACGCAGCCAACATGGCCAACCCAAGTTCAATTCCTCCGTCCCTCTCGGAGAGCCCAGCAAGCTACTGAGAGTGTCTCGCCCACACGGCAGAGCCTAGCAAGCTACCCGTGATGTATTCGATATGCCAAACACAGTAACAACAAAGTCTCCAACAGAGACATTACCTGGCCCGCTCGAGAAAATCGATGAACAATGGGAGGACAGTGACAGATCTAATATATTACATCTATGTGCATAAATTCTACAGAATTTCTATCTTATTTCTTCATTAAAATCTCAGTGATTGCATTCTTAATATCATCAATGGCAAGCTAATCACATATATATATTTAAAGTTCTTCATGATGATTTATTATATTCAATATTCTAACACAAATCTCACCATAATTACACCTTCCCACCACATTACTTTCAATTTCCCCAAACACCACCAACCCTGTTCCAATAGCAGATCCTAAATAATTTATTTTGTGTTGCTTGTTATGAATAATTCACTAAAAATGATCAAAAAAGATTTCCTTAGAAGAAATTGTGTGAAGACTGTTGTATCTTACCCTGAAGCAATTAAGCCCTTATATAAAAGATTACTAACATGTAGTTGCAGGTTAAGCCTTGTGTGTTACTATTTTCTTAATCGAGATTGGTTGCCTTCTACTTTACATTCCATCTAATATGGTGTGCTACTCCAGGTGGTGTAGAGTTTGAGATGTTGCCTCAGGAATCCTGAGATTTTGAATGGGGCGTTACATCTGGATTTAAATTTTTAACTGGATGGTGACTTTTTGGTCTGGAAGTATCTCTGCGGCTTGTTTATCTCTTTTGATATTTATTTATAAGTCTCTGGATCGTGGCCCATTAATGAGTTTATATGGTGCCAGAGGCAGTTCATGGTCATGACTCCCAGAAAAACAGGGGCTTGGGGAGAGGTCACCCATCCCCAACTCTGGGAGAGCCTGGAGATTTTGATAACAAAACCTGCATACTTGAGTTTTTCAACAGATTCTTTCCTGGATGAGACTTGTCCAAGCCCTTGTAGTCTGGTCATGAGCATGGCAGCAATTGGGTTACGGAGGTTTTCCGCTGCTGGGGCTCTGTTTGAGAGGATGGTGGGCTCATCCACCCCCACTCTGGGATGCCCTTGATGAGACTCAGACTGGCGTGGGGTCAAGAGGCATTTCTGCAGCTTGTTGATCTCTCTTGAGATTTATTTATGAGTCTCTGAGTTTTCAACAGATTTGTTCCTGGATATGAGGCTCATCCCAAACCTGTGGAATCCAGCTGTGAGCATAGTGGTGATTGGGTTATGGAGGTTTATGGCTGCCAGGGTTCTGTTTGGGCAGATGGTGGACTCACCTGCCCCACTCTGGGGTGCCTGGGATGTGACAGTCTGGTATGGGGTTTGGAGGCATCTCTGCCTAATCACATGCATTTTAAAAAATGTGATATTTAATGGCAGATGCTTTATTTGTTACAAGTCTTTTTTTAGTGTTTTGTGCATGTAAGTATTTGCTATAGGTCTAGAGAGATCATGCAGCAGGAGGGTGCTTATCATACACGTGGCCAACCTGGATTCAGTCTTTAGCAGCTCATATGGTTCTCCTGAGCACCCCCAATATTAATTCCTGACCACAGAGCCAGGGGTAAGCTCTGAGCACCGCCAGTATGGTACCAAAACAGAACAAAACAAAAAGTGAAATTGTTTGGGCTGGAGCCATAGTACAGTGAATAGGGGTTTAACCTTGCACCTAGCTAGCCCAGGTTCAAGCCTTGGCACCCCGTATAGTCTCCGGAGCCCAGCCAGGATCTCTGAGTGCAGAATCAAAAAGTAAGTCCTAGTAAATCAGGTGCAGGAGCTCTCTTCTGTCAAATAATACTGAGATTTTAGTGGAAATAATGATGATACACGGTTGTTTGCTTTGCAGTAGAGTATAATTTGACAATTTTGTCTTTTTGGTAAGCCGCTATCTATAACAATGGGTCTGTTACTTTAGAAAACAGCGGACCAGTTGACTTTAGCAAACAACTTTATTTAATTACTTATTCATATGATAGGCAGCCTTCAGTAAGCTGTCCAGAAAGGACCTTTTTTATGATTATTTAAGATATATCTTGATGTAACATGCTTGATGCTAACTATGTAGTATTAACTTCTCAATGGTCATTTTCTTATATTCAATATCTGTAAAATTTGAACATTTACTTTTCATGCTCCACTGTACCCAAAGCAAAACCAAGTCATTGCAGCTGCACTGATACAAAAATGAAGTTGAGAAAACAAAGTATTGAGTATCAGAAAGACATACTGATATAAAATATGACAATCTATACTAATTTTTTAAGAGCTTCTAACTGTACCAATTTAAATCCTCATCAACAAGAGCAGTTTGTTTTCTTTTTACATCTTCTCCAATACCTGCTGCCTGTTGCTTGTTTGATAAAACCATCTAACTGCTTAAGTGTTATCTATCTCACTATCATTTTGACTTGCCTCTCTTTGGTGACTGGTGATGTTAAACATCTCATTTTCTTGTTGGCCATTTTCATAATTTCTTTGGAACAATTTCTGTTCAGCTCCTTGGCCATCTTAAATTTTTCTTCTATTTCTTAATCAATTGTGTTAATTTCCTTAAGTTATTTTGAATGTTTAATCTTTGTGACCTGAAAGCTGATCACCCAGGAGCCTTAGGACTTTCTTTGTATTAAGCACAGGGGCCAGAGCGATAGTATAATGAGTAGGGTGCTTGCCTTGCACACAGCTGACAGGGTCTTGATCCCTGATGCTATTTATTGTCCTCTGCCAAAAGTGATTCTGGGTAAGTCCCGAACACTGCAACACATGCCCCTCCCCCCCCAAAAAAAAGAAAAGAAAAAATAATAATTTGGCACAAACTGATAATTGAAGCAACCAAATGAGAAAAAAGAGATAAATGGAATATATAGAGAAATTATCTATGTTTTCAAGGTTTATTTAAATATCTGGTTATAGTTTTTCTTATTTTAATGTCTATTATATGCTTTGTATTCTATTTTGACAAAATATGTAGTTAAATATATTTGCTTCAACATATACCTTTTAAAATAATTATATCAATTTCTGCTTTATTTTTATAGTACAAAGGCAAAGGCAGACATTGAGTCTGAAATCCATGTTATGTTAAAAATGGTCATAAAAAATGATCAGCTACATAAATATTTACACAGGAGAGCTTATGAAATCAGTGCTGTTTACCACCTAACTAGATATAAATTAGAAGACTTAGAAGAGAAAATAGTTGAAGTAAGAAGAAAATTTAAGGTTTGTATTTCTGATTTCTTAGCTAAAAAGGGTAATTATTCCTCTAAGATATCCCTCAGCATAACTAGTTAATACCTTTCACTATTACTAATATTAAATTGCCTTGAGTACCAGGAAAGAAAGACTTTGGTTCAGTCTCACCCAACATATCTAATGTTCTGCTCTTTGTAGGGGAGTGCCCTTGAACCCAGTGCAGTATATGCAAATGAAATACCAGGACTTGCAAGTTACTGGATTCTAGAGCACTAAGCAAGTAGTAAACTGTGATGCTCCCTCCAGCCTCTTCTCATTCTTAAGTGAGAGATGGGATGACTAACCACTCACTCCCTGGTCTTAGAGACCAGCAAAAATTATTTTATTCATAAAACACAGGGACTCAATCTTACCATACACTTATGTTCCTCCTCTATTTTGAGATTAGAAAAAGATATGATTATATCTGTAAAATATAAACCCTTTTATTCTGTATCTAACTCCTCATCTAACAATATCTTCATAGAAAACTTTTAAGATATTTGAATTTAGCATATATAGATCATCCAAATATATATATTTTTATGTGCTAAGGATTTTTTTCTCTTTTGACATGACTACTCAACTTTGTTGCTGCATAATACCTGTATTTTTATGGTTTGCTAAATAATTTATAATATCTTATATGTCAAAATGTTAATAAGATAAAATTTATGAATAGGAAAGTTCACCTTAACCTTATTTTTGAAACATAAGATATGTGAATAAATATGTATTTTCAGATATAAACTAATGGTGCATTTATAATTGTCAAAACTTTGTTCAATTCATAGTTGTCTATGGCCAGTGGTTTTTCTTTTTGTTGAGACTGTGATCCTGTCCTGTCCTCCCGTTGTTCATTGATTTGCTCGAGCGGGCCCAGTAACATCTCCATTGGAGACTTTGTTGTTACTGTGTTTGGCATATTGAATACTATCAATGGAAACATCATTCACTGGGACCAGAGAGGTAGTGCCTTTGTCTTGAACTTAGCCAACCTGGGTTTGATGCCTGGCATCCCATCTGGACTTTAGAGCACCACCAGGAGTGATTCCAGAATGCACAGCCAGGAGTAATCCCTGAGCACAGCCTGGTGTGACCCCAAAACAAAAACAAACAAAACAAAACAAAACAAAGAGAGCGAGAAAAAAGAAAACAAAATCATGCACGAATTTAGCCACTTAACTAAAGGCAATTAAGTAAGAAAATTGATCTACACAACTGAGTTGGTGGTCACTGGCGTTTGAATTGGAAGGGCTTTGGAGCCTTTGAGAGCCTTTGTGCAGGTGCACCGCTATGCTGAGATCCTGTAATTTACAATACTGTTTGCAAATGTTTCCATGCATGGGAAACTGTCATTAACAGTATTGTAAATTACAGGATCTCAACAACAACAAATACATAAATAATGTGGCCACTTAGTGCATTTTAATTTTTTAAATGTAAAGGAAACCCTATCATCTATATATTTTTCTATTGTTTTCATACTATACTTCCAATTTTTAGACATACAGTTTTATTAGTCTGGGTTTAGAATAAATTAGACTAGAAATAAATTTAATTAAAAATAATTTAGACTAAATTAAAAGAGTTTTTCATTAAATTTCCTAAAAATATTCCTGTTAGGACTGGAGAGATAGTACAGCAGGTGAACACTTGTCTTGCATGTACCAGACTCAGATTCCTTCCCTGCACCACATATGGTTCCCCGTGCCTCAGCAGAAATGATCCCTGAGCATAGAGAAAAGAATAAGCCTTGAGAATAACTGGGTTTAGCCCCTGAAAAACAAAAGCAAACAAAAATATACATAATTTGTAGGTAAATGCAAATTTGATGTGAGTGCACTATAGTTGCTTTGGCAACACAAAACAAAGTGCCTCCCCCAATTTTGTTCAAACAAAATCATAAAAAAGTGTTTATCAGTTCATTTTCCTCCCCTACCAGTTGAATAATAACTGTACGGGCAGTCACAGAAAGAAATTGATTCACTGAGAAAATATTCTCATGGTTGACCATTCTCACAGATTTATGAGCTGAGTATATAGGGGGGGAAAATTTGGGAGATGTATGCCATGTATATCTGTTTCAGAATGGAAATAAATTAAAAACAAATTTTGAGTTTGTAATAATTCAACTTGGTCATTTTGCTTTGGTAATTACTTTGCTGTCTTTCATTAACTCGAAGTGAAAATCTGTAGCTTTTTTTGAGTCTGGGTACTACGGTTTTTATTTTTTCCCCTAACTTTGTGTATCTATTGATTCTGGCCTGAAATTAATCTTTAATCCATTTTATAAAAATTAGTTACAATAATTAATGCTTCTGAGATCATTCTCGGAAATGAGAAATAATCACTTGAAGTTTAAGAAGCAGAATTTCTGAATTATGTTGTTTTACATTAATGTATCTTTTAAGTGTTGAGTACACATTTTTTTGGACTAGAAGAAACCTTAAACTATCAAGATATTTCTCAGCTTATAGATGATTAGTTACAACTTGTATATGACTTCAATATCAATGACTGATGGACTATGCGTTAATCCAGGCCATCATGTCTGTCCGGAGGGGAAAGGGTGTTGCCCCATTCGCCCTTTCCTCTCTGGAAAGAAAGATGGTGGCCGCATGGGAGCCTTGTGGACAGCAGGTATGAGCCGGGGGTGTGGAGACGACTAAAACCTCATGGGAAGGGGGGCGTTTCGGTCTGCCCTTCATGCCCTACGGAGGCCACCAGTTGCCCCCCACGAGCGGCTCTCCAGCATGGCCACAACTCCAGAGCACAGAAACCAATTTCTTAACTATCTGACTTTCAGTAGAAATACTTCCAGGGTCAATAAGTAAAATAGCAGAAATCCAAAACCAACATTTAATTCTTGAACCCAGCTGTAGAGAGCAAATCACTTCACAATGCTTTTTCAGCATGTCTGATTGGGGGGGGGGGGGGTAAACTCTAAATAATAGTGGTGAATCTTTTAATGAAACAATGAATATAATCAAAGCAGATAGAGTGTTAACTAGAATTCATCTGCCTCACAGGGACTGGGAGGGGTGGGGGGTGGGGTTTTATTGGGGTTCTTCATGGTAAAAAATAAGTATTGGTAAAGGGAAATGTGTTTGATATTTGCATGACTGAGACCTAAACCTGAAACCTTTGTAACCTTTCCCACAGTGATTCAATAAATAAAAAAAAAATATATCAATGACTGACAATCTAGAACAAAACATGATCTTTCAGGACAAAAATTAGCCAACAGTGAAGGAAGATAATAAAAGAGTAAGATATATTTCATTTTAATATTGATGAAAAGAATAGAAAATCGTGTTTTGCCTCAAAAGCGATAGTGTAACAAAATTGAAAGCTTTCATAAGATGTCATATAGTTTTCAATACTTTATTAGAAGTTCCGTGTAATTTGAAGGAATTTAAAGATTTTTTTCTTTAGAAATACTGGAATTTTGGTATTAAATAGAACATCAGGCCTCTCTCTGGTTCCATTCATTGTACTAGAAATATGTGGAAATTTAGACAAGAAGAAAGAGAGTAAAACTGAAAAAGAAGGGGTTTCTGGCAATAATATGCTGCATTTTCCCCAAGTGTTACTTGATTTAGTGTCCACAAAACTATGTAGTTGCTATTAATAAATAGACTCATTTTTTTTAAAAAGATTTACTAGTGCAACACCATGAGGTACAATTGTAGACTTATAAATTTTTGTGCTTGGGTTTCAGTTATACAATTATCGAGAACCCATCCCTCCACCAGTGCCCATTCTCCATCACCAATGATCCCAGTATCCCTCCCAACTCCTACCCCTTCCCCCCACCCCACCCCACCTCTGTGGAAGGGCATTTGCTTTTGTTCTCTCTCTCCTTTTGGGTGCTGTGGTTTGCAAAAGAGGCATTGAATGGCAATCATGTTCAGTAAATAGTCTACTTTCAGCATGCATCTCCCATCTTGGGAGAATCCTCCCAACATCCTTTACTTGGTGCTCCCTTCTCTATCTGAGCTGCCTTTTCCCCTAGCCTGTGCGGCTGGCCTTCAAGCCATGGAGTGAACCTCCTGGTACTTATCTCGGCTATTCTTGGGTGTTATTCTCCTATTTTGTTACTTTATATTCCACAGATGAATGCAATCTTTCTATGTCTGTCCCTCTCTTTCTGACTCATTTCACTTAGCATGATACTTTCCATGTAGAACCACTTGGATGTAAATTTTATGATTTCATCTTTTCTAACAGCTGCATAGTACTCCATTGTGTAGATGTACCAAAATTTCTTTAACCAGTCATCTGTTCTCTGGATATCGGGTTTTTTTCAGATTTTGGCTATTGTGAACAGTGCAACAATGAACATAGAAGTGAAGATGAAATAGACTCCTTTTGAATTGAAGTGGTTTGTCCAATGTAGACTGTATTTCAGATAGCTACAGTTTGGAAACAGGGTTTTCTGTTGCTGATCACAGATTACTCAGACAGTAGATCTTATCCTCTGCCCAATAAAGATTCCGTTATGCTCAAAACTTCCAATTAAGTATATTCAAGATCATTTTGGAGAATTAAGTTTTGGTATAATGGTGTTATAAACATGGCTGAGTAGGCTGTAACAGTCAATCCTCTCATCTAAAGTCAAAGCAGAAATCATATGTTAGTCTAATCTGTGATTGAATGATTTGCCTGACTAATGCAGGCTTCTGTAGATCTTCTCAGTTGTGACTGATAGCTCATGGAGTTGAGGAATGAAGAGTTGTGAAGGACACAGGGGACAAAGTGATATCTACTGCTTTAGTAGACCTTGCTCAGGGAAGATAGAGACCATGAGGCCATGTAATTCCTAAAACCAGTGACTTCCTTTTTTGGTGTCTTTGAAGTGCTACTGAACACTTACAGATAACAGAGCTGGGATAAAATGCTGTGTCCCAGGTAGTTTTCGGATAACTGAGTCCCCTCTCTTTCTTGTACTCAGGGATGTGAAATTGTATCCATAGCAGGAATTA